CCTCACACGTGCCAAAAATGATGAAATTAATTTGATGATTGTACGAGAGCTTTCTGAAAAATCATTCTTTTAAAGTAAAATGTATCCTAAATACTTCTTATCAATACAAAACCGCTATTATTATCTGTTATAGAAAGCTCTGACAGAAATTCAGATTCAAACATTGCATCACAGTTGGTATAAAGTTATTGTAGCTGCTTTTCTTTGGTTGATAAATATGGGTTCATGAAGGAGCTGACTTTTAACTCTAAGGAAAGAGGATGTTTGTGTAACTTTTCTATGTTGCATATTGGTTTTTCCCAAGTTTCCAAATAAGTACTGATTTTTTTCAGTGATATGATATGATACAATAGGATTACAATAGTAATCCTATTGTATCATATGTATGTTCCTTTCAGTCCATGTACTGTGGCCTCCAGTTTGCTTGGCTCAACCTAGAACAAGGGTGTCAAACTGCCAGCCCGCGTGTTGTGATTTCTCGCCAGCCATTGGATCTGACAGCTGAGTCTGAGGACTCAGATGAGGAGGAGGGCCTGGAGTGACATTAGAGTCAAAGGAAGGCTCTGAGGAGCTCCAAGACTTACGGTCAGATGAGGAACCTGGCCCCTCTACTCGCGCTCGGGCTGAGACACAGCTGTGCTGGGAGCCTGAGTTGGACAGTGCTGAGGAACAGCTGGGACAAATCCCGGATGCACGAATGCACAGACAGAAGAAGTAAGTGGGACAGAAGAATGCAATGGGTTGGCTCCAAAGGCAAAGGAGAAGATATTAGGAAGCCATGCCTTGGCTGAATTATAAAAGGGGAAGGTGTGGGAAGTGCTGGTTGCCAAAGGCAATTGTTCGTGCTGAAGATCGATTTTCTGTGGACTGTGTTTGTTTGCCTTGGACATTGACTCAGGTCTGTGAAAATAAAATGAATTGGTTTTTTCCTGCGGTTCCTGCCTGTTTCTTGGAAGAGGGGTTTCTCCTTGTGAGTACAACAAGGACGCACGTAAGCTGGGACAGAACACCGTGGGCCGGTTTCATCATACCAAAGCCGTGCCCACCTCATTGCTGGCAATGGAAAAAGAGTTGTGACACGTCACGTGATACGGCAAGTTTGATACCCATGATCTAGAACAAAAACTTCTTATCAATGTTTGATTACCATCAGTAGGGTTCAGAATTTCTGCAATAAGGGCAAACCAGCTCACAGAACTGGATAAAAAAAATAGAAGCATTAGCTCCTGGAAAAAATGATATCTGAATATCTATGGAGATTCTCAATCATCTAGATCATAGTTGTCCCAAAGGTGCTTTTCCAAAAGGCAACTGGACTTTCCTGATTTTTTTTCCTTGAAAACATAATTCACTTCTTATCCAAGAAGCTTCTTCAGTTCCTGAAGAACTGAACTGAAGAAGTTTCTTGGATGAGGTGCAAAATATTTTCAAGGAAAAAAAAACAAAACAAGAATATCCAATTGCCATTTGGAAAAGCACTTTACAGTAAGATTATGTCTGCTGATTGGGTATTAATCTTGCTGAAATCAAGAATTCAAAGGTTGCTGAAAAAGTTTCAATAAATTCTAGGCTTGTAGGGCTTATTGTTCAGACCAATCCAAATCAATTACTATGACATATGTATTGAGTTTGAGCATCATTTGCATTAACAAGAAATTGATTATAAATAAGCCAAATGTATATTGTTTAATCAATGCAGTGCAGTGATTTTATTATACATTTTATATAGTTTAAGATTTTTTCCCCTAAATTTTCTTGTTAGATAGTTCTATATGCAGTTCCTAAATTTGCAGTGTTCTGATGATTGACAACAGTATTACCTCAGAATTAGATTTTAATAGCTTTCTGTGTGAATAAATGTTCAAAACTTTGGGTCCTGAAAAATTCTGCATGACATTTTATATTATTGTCTCTTACTTTGAGGCAATGCAATTTACACTAAAAAATATAAATGATTTTAGGAGCTTTTAAACTGATTTTTTATCAAAATGTAATTGCCCTTTGAATCCCCTCCCCCCTCATTTTTGTTCACTGTGATTCTTGTACAATTTATCTAGGCAAGCTGATTTTGGAAAACATCTTTATAATGAAATAGAGGTGTGACTTTTCAGGAAAGCAGTTGTTGCTCTGTCTAAAAAGCCATCAAAACATATGTTATATATGAAAATGTATGTGCTGTGTAACATATTTGTGTGATCATCATAATTAGTTATATTGGAGGATGAAGTCTTAAAATCTTCCTGCCTGAGATTATTAGGAATTAAAGTTCTTGGAGGAGAGAATATGATAATTACTCGATAGAAAGAAGAGTGGAAAGTATAATTGTATTCTTTTCTTTTCATCCTTTCTTTCTTTTTTCTTCTCTCTTACTTTCTATCTTTTTGTTCATTTTTATATATTTTTACTATATTGGAAAATTCATATGAATAAATAATTAAAAATTGATTTCTAACACATTTGGTAGGTATCAAGTTGAAGAAAACTGAGCCATTCTGTTGCATTTAAGTGAAAAGCTCTGAAATAAATTCATGAAATTATTGTCTTCCTATCACTTCTCATGTTCCTTGCTACCTCACTACCTTGGTTATAGTGAAGCTTTTGCTTATCTTTCTTCCTCTAATAATTCTGAAAGAGAGAGACTAAATCTGTTCATCAAACTCAGTAAAAAGGTAAAACCTGATCCCTTGCCCTCCATTCTCTCTTACAGCATGGTATAATAATGGAGGGGGATATATTTTAATTAATATAATAAATATTTCAGGTAAAGCAGAATAGAAAATGATCTGTTGAGACTCTTTGACTAATCCATTTTTAGATTGAAATCAACTGCTTCAAAACATTGATATGGAACTAATTATTTATTTATGCAATCTATCAACCACCTCAGACTCCTGGGTATTAACATTATTAGGATGCAAAACTACAGGGATATATACTTTTTATCTGAGGGTGTAGGAAAGAGAAATTGATGTTTTAAAAGTCACTTGTTCCTGTCTTGTTCTACCATTTGGGCTGCCTTTCTGAAATTGAATAATCTTATTTCCATGTTTGCTTCAGTGTTTGTGATTTCTTGACAGATGTTGGTGTTAGTAGTTTGAAGTCCTTAGTTCTTTGGTCTCTTTTTTTGGAAAAAAATCTGTTCACCTATGTGATTATCATAAGATTTAATTGGTGCAGAAGGTAATCTTTTTTGGGGGAAGTAAATATCCAGTATCTTTATGAGTCTAGAAGTTCTGTGGGTCTTTTCATACCATGTCATCTAGCAGTGGAAGAAACAAATGTTTGGTCTCCTTCCATTTATTCTAAAATTTATGCTTATTCTGATTAAATTTTGCTTAAGTGAAAACATTAAGTATGGCAATCCAGCTGAACACAAATGTTTCACTATAGTTTTGTCTTTGTATCTCATGAAGAAAAATCTTCCTCGTAACTGTAACTGTAAAATCTATTGACTTAACTGATTAGCCTTATGTGAATAATATTTTTGTAAGTCAATAAAATTGTGCTTCATTTTGTGTATGAAATTAGCTTTTTGGAACATAAGATATTGTTATAAAGCTCTTGATTTGCAATATATGAATCTGGTACAGTATTGGAGATTTATGGGAGAAATGCTCATATGAATGCAAAGCACTTGGGGAACTATGAAATTATGAAAGGGCATTCAGAAAAGGTACAAAGAATGTGTTTTATTTCTGAATATACATTATACCATTAGATTATAGCGATCACACAAAAAATATGTCATTTTTCTCTCCTTTTTTTGCCCCCCATTATTCCTGTGGATTTCAGTCTACTTCAAGCATGTCCAACCTGTGCCCCATGTCACAGTAACACAGTATTAATTAATCAACAAAGCATTAAAACTGCAGTTTCTGAATATGGTCTTCTTCTTCTGTGCATTTGTTTGTTTTAAATTTCTTTGCTATTTTAGTAACCTGGAAGTTTTATTTTTTTCCATTTAGGTGCTTGGATGTTCCACAAATCCAATCAGTATGTACAGACTAATTTGATTGAACCAAACTCATTTTTTTTTATTCATTCATCACATTTCTACATCACTCATATCACCTAAGTGACTCTAGGCTGCTTACAATAAAATTAATTATGTTGACAAAGAGTGATCAGTTGAACAATTCCTTCTCATGATAGCTTTGTTTGTTTTTCAATGTAAAACAAATTACTAGGCTGCTAATTAAAGGAAAGGAACTATGGGGAGGAATGCTGTTTAAACCCTTTCCCTTTCTTTGACTTGTTTGCTCATAGTTATCCTCCTCAAGCAGCTCTCTCTCTCTTTCTCTTTCTTTTTCAAAATGTTTATCTTTCCTTTGTAAGGAAATATGCAATTGGGTGCCAATTCTGCCCTTTAGTACTAAGTTATTGGACCATCAGCGATATCCTTCTGAAATCTGACATGCTTATTTTATTAGAGCAATGTATAAAGTCATCACCGTTGCTAGTCAGATTTTAAAAGAAGAGTACAGAACAATGAAGCATTCATAAAACCAAAATATAATAATTTTAAAGAAAAAGTTAAGAACCCTCACAAAATAAATACCACATCAACATGAAGGAGAAATACTCTGATGTTTTTCTAGAGTTTATTGCAAATAAAGTTGAATAATGTCTGTTCTTGAATGTATTTGTTTTGTCTTGGATGTCTTTCACATCATATTCAGAAGATGACAGTGTCACAGATTCTGTAAAATTACTTGTCAAAATGAGATGCCATTGATATCTTAAAGGAGAAAAAAATGTTGCACACATCATCATTTCCACATCAGTGTCCAATATTCCATACCAATAGGTCCATAAAATATGCAAAAGCTCAAAATTGGAGGAACAAGGGAACCCCAACGGAAGAAGAGATCCTGCATAAAATTCTAATATGTGCTGAGATGGACAGGCTTACAATGTTTATGAAAGACAAAACGGAACACGAATACCTCGAAATCTGGGGCAAATTTTACTGCTGGTATGAATTAAGAACTGCTCGGACTTCAAGCTAATGATAGAATTAAAAGATATACATAACTGTACATATAATTGTATATATAATTGTATTGTATAAAAGATGAGGCTTATATAGAGGTTAAGAACAATGTATTAAATTTTTGTGGCCGCAGGATGTCCCCTACTCCTCGATGCACCTCCTTAAGGCCCACCTCCAACTCCACCACTACCTTATACCAGTCCCGAAGTCTATTCGGAACTCCCCTGTACACGCAGGCTTGACGCAGATCTTGGTCCAGCCCGGCCCGAAAATGATGCACCAGCAGGCGCTCTGGCCACGAAGAATACAATCGGCCAGCTAACTTACGGAAGTCCCGCACATATTCGATAGCTGGGCACTTCCCCTGCTGGAGCGCAAGGAGGTCCGCCTCGGCTCTCTGCGCTCGGGTGGGATCTTCGAACCTCCCATGCGTCCAAGAACAGGCCCGCGCTCCCCAATTCACGGGCATGGTCGCTGTACAGGTCGGCCGCCCAGGCAGCCGCCTCTCCGTGCAGAGCAGCGGTGACGGCGCCGACCATGGTCCATTGAGAGGCATATAATTGGGCATATTGATCTAGATGGCTTATAGCCTGGCCCAGGAACATTGCCAGGTGATCGGGATTGCCGTCAAACGTGACAGGGATAGGAGGGGGTCCCCATGAACTCCCCGGACCCCATGGTCCCAGGGTTTGGCCTGACCCGATGTTGGCATATCTGGGTACAGGTCCCTGCCGTTCCACGCCCCCTCTCACTGCAGGCCCTCTAGCCACATTTCTGGAACCAGCCTGCTGGGCTGATTGCGGCTGACCCGGCGGGCCGCCCGACGGGAGACCCGTGAGGGCCGACCCACCTGCTGGAGGCGGCAACCGCAGCCACGGACTGCTCAGCCGGAACCTGGATGATGGAGTGCGCGCCGCAGAGTCTTCTTCCGACTGCCACATGTTGGAAGCACCCCTGTAGCTCGCCTCGCCAAACCGGTGTCGCAAAATTTCCATCGTATCTTGGCCCGGAGCCGTTGAATAGCTCCAGTCCTCATCGTCCTCGGAGGTGACACGCCTCTCCCTCCATCCCGAGTGACTGGGTTTCGGCTTGGGCGTCAGGGGTTGCCCGGTCTGCACCCCGGTCAACGCCGGGCTTTGCCACCACTCCTCCTGTGGCTTCACGGCCCCTGTCTCTTCCACTCCGGGTCCTGGGTTTGCGGCCAACAGCAACTTTGGCCGCACCACAGGCTGCTCGGCCGCCTGGTCCGGCACCGGCACGGCCTCAACACCGTCGCCAGCCTCCACCTCCCCCTCGGCCAGGGAAACGCCCTGCGTGCCTTCCGCCATATCTCTCTCCTCTCTAGCAAGCACAAAGGTGAAGGAAGAAAAAGGAGTGCTGACTTACTGTCAAGTGCATCCGAAGTCGTCCGTGAGTAAGAACAAAAGGAACGCCGGTACACACTGAACTCACCAATTGATTTATTGTGAAGATGAAACAAAGTCAGCACTGGGAGTGGTTTTCTCCCAGCGCTCTATAACTGTGTGCCACACCCTGTGCTCCCGCCCCCAACTCCAAGCCAACATCCGCTTGAATTGGATAAATGCTCCACCTTTTCCCTGTGCTCTCCCTTTCGCCGACGGAGCCCCACCCCCGCATCCTTCTGTCCATGCGTCCGGTCCGCGCATTACCTTCCCACCGCCAAGCTCTCCCTGCCTACTGGCCCCTCTGTCTGGTAAGTAACCCCCACCCGCTACCCCCGCTGGATCCCCCTGTAGTTGCAGAGGGTCCCCGTCCCACGGCGACGTGCCGGCGGGCATTCGACTCGCCAACCGCAGCTGCCTCTCGGGGACTTCCGGGTTTGCCGACAGCAGCTGAACCGCGGGGAATTCCGGGCTTGCCGCCCCCAGCTGATCGTCGGGGAATTCCAGACTCGCAAATAGACCAGCGCCCGTTTGCGCCTGTGCGTCAGCGCGGAGAGGCGGGCCAGCCAAGTATCCCTGCTCAGACCGGGCTCCAGCTGTGATGGCTTGTTGCTCGGTGGTTGCCTGAGGTTTTGGGCTGCCGTCTGCTCCCCCCCGTCCCCGTTTGCATGTCAAGCCCTCGGGAGCTTGACACTGTGATAGGAACTGATAGGAAAATTCACTCTGGAATGTCATGTTTGTCCATTGTTGTTTTAATTGTATTATGAATAAATTTTTTAAAAAAATATATATGCAAAAGCAAGACACCGCTATTGTATTATATTCATGTAAACACCCATTTAGCTATAAGACAAGAATGCATAAAGGAAAATAACAATGAAGGACTCAAGAGGTAGCATGTATTATTAAATAAGACAATGGTGGAAAAGTACAGAGGAGTGAAGGAAGATACTTTGCATTGGGACTGAGTGCAGAAAGGAATTAAAGGTTAATTCATGAAGGAAAGCTAGTGATTTATTATGAAATGAAAATGGGTAGAAGGGTTTTAATGATTACTAATAACACATAGCACCCTGTTACGTGAGTCCCTAAAATCTGGTACACAGAATCATAATCTAATAGTAATGATCCCAAGGAATTTATATTAGTCGATTGCTCCCTTGCCATTCTTGAAAAAATGGATTTTGGAGTGTAGTATAAGACACAGCTTTTTCATGCACATTTTACTATTTTATGACTGTACAATGCTTCACATTTAGTTCCAAAAGTTGCTTTAGAGTATGCAGGAATGTGAATGTAGCAACTGTTTGCAACTTTTTAAAGCAACCACATCTTGTTCCAAGTTGCCTTCTTGTCCCAGGTGTCAGAAAATTTGGAGACTCCTCCTATACAGAAATCTGAACTACCTAAAGTTATTTTATACTGACATGGACCTCATTGTATACACCTAGTGATAACTATTAACCTCATTGTTTCAAACAGAAATTGAAATAAATAAAATGGAAATGAACTGTACAATGACTCTGGGATCATACCAATAATTAAACACTCTTCATCCCCTTTTTCTGTTAACATGCTTACAAGGCAGATCAAATTGAATTATAATAATTCTAATAAATCTAAATATCATTTTAGAACAGAATATCATATCATCTGTACACATGCAGCAAGAATAGTGTATGCTTTCACACATGACTGTATCCATGGAGGTTAATATTAATATTAAGGTATTCAAGGATGAGCATGTTTTCCTGAGTTGAAGTAAAATGAAGTCAAGATGAAAGAGTCTGGAAGTACAAAGGGGGAATGAATAATGAGTTGCCTAAACTCCTGGGTCCAGGCTTTATGACACTACTTTTTACATTTTGTCAAGCTTTTATCATCTGCTTTACTATACTAAGAAAACTGTGTTTCAATGTGTTTCCTGATGGGCTGTTCTATAGTTTTCCTCCTGGATAAGCAAACCCTGTGTCTAAATATAAATAAGGAATAATAATGCCAAAACACACATTATCATAGGTCAGTGATGGCCAACCTTTTAGAGACTGAGTGCCCAAACTGGAACCCCAAACCCACTTATGCATCATTGGGTGCTGGGTGGGTATGGCCCGTTGGCTGGGTGTAGCCCATTGGGTGGGCATGGCTGTGGTGGTAACAGCAGACTGGGTGGGATTAAAAAGTTCAATCAATCAATTCCAACTTTGCAAGATCTTTTTTTTTCCCCGCGAGAAGTTGAAATTGACTGATTGATTGATTTTTTTTTTTGTACATGGCAGTGGAGGCCTAAAGTGAAAAGATTTTATAAAACCCAGCTGAAGGCGTAGGACTGGGGCAACAGCGTGCGTGCCCACAGAGAGGGCTCTGAGTGCCGCCTCTGGTACCCGTGCTATAGGTTCGCCACCACTACCATAGGTTACACCTTTTGTGAACTCAATGGTATGTATCTGAGGGATTTTCAGAAACTATTAGCATATAAAGGGGAAGTGTGTATATGCCTAAGGACAAAATTTAAGTTTTTAAAAACTGAGTTCTCTAAAGAGGGGAACACTTGGAAAGCAAAAACTGTGGGTTATAGCAATTGTGCTTCACAAGTCAGACTTCTAGATAGCATACAGCAGTATCCTTTGTTTTCCAGGGATGCTCTCTTAATAAGTAAGACCTTTTTAGGGCATGGCTTCAGGAGAAAACGTCTTTATACAAATTGTTGCCTTATTATATTTCTAAATGTATGAATAAACATGAGACAGAAATAAGCATAAGCATTTGAGATGTTACTGCCTGAAAAAGATACTGAATTCCTAATCTGTGCTAGAGGAAATCTGGGACTGGCAGAGTACTACCTCACTTTCAGGTGAAATTTAAAGTGCAAATTCAGACTGTGTCCATGATATCAAAAACAAACAAGGCAGCTGAATCTATCCTTTCCTTCAGATGATGAAGCTGATATTGTAAAAGAGGAGAGTTGGTGCTTCGTGCACACCCAACAGGTTTCCCTTTTACATTTACAAATTGTATGTTTTCTGCCAAGATGTTTTATATGTAGCAAGAATATATGGGCTGAGGAAAATCATGCTAAGTCTAGGGGCATTCCAGTGCTTGCAAGGATAGTTTATTTATTAGATTTATACGCTGCGTTTCATTCAGGAGCTCAGGGCAGCATATATAACATTTACTCTTTTCATTTTCCTCCACAACAACCCTTTGAGGTAGTTTGGGTTGAAAGAGAATGAGTGGACAGAAGTCACCCAGTCAACATCTTTGTCTGTGTTTGGACTAGAATTGGAGTTTTTCCATTTATAGTCCAATATCTTAACCATTATGCCACACTAATGTACACTGAATATACTAATCTAGTGTATTTCTAACTTTGAACCTTTTTTTATTCCACCAGTAAGTTGTTAGCATTACTCAAAAAAGATAAAAATGTTTTCAAAATAAGCTTACTATCTTGAATAGCAGTTATGGAAGGGATTCATATGCAAATAGTTTGGCTAAGCAACACTTTTTATTTTTCTGTCCTTTTTGGACTGAATCTATTTTGAGCTCACAAACAGGCACATCTATTGACTGATGGCGATAACGATCTGACATTTACATGGTGCATGTCAAGCAGATAGAACCCAAATGGTTTTATAAATGGTCCCACTGGATGGTACTAATTGTGTACAGTATATAAGGAGCACTTTGCTAAGTGTTAAAATATAAATACTGATAAGTTGCAAGATCTGTATTATTTCTTTCCATAGTTTTAAATTACTGGCAATATTTCTACACTTGGCAGTTAAATGGTTACACTATTTACTCTAAAAAATTGATTGATTGACAAACGAGTCTTTGGAGAAAAATAATTCTTAATTTATTGACTAAATAGTCCTGGAAATTCTAGAATATTGTTTGTGTTTTGCTGTATTTTGTAGCCTCTCTGTATACTTTTAGAAGAGACATGCTTTTCTTGAACACATGTTTGGCACGTTCAAACTGTATCCTTGTCAATTACGAAAAAAACACCTCTAAATATCTGCCACTAACAAGCAGTCATCACAGAGAAGGACATCTCTGAAATGCTTGTGTACGGTTATCAAGAATTTCCCAAAGTTGTTACCAAACTGTCATTTTAAATGTGACCAAACAGAAAATAAAAATAAAAATAAAGGATAGAGAGTGATTCTATGATTCCTTTAATCTATCTGTGGAGGCTGTGGATTGGATTCTCTGGAGGGCTTTAAGAAAAGACTGAACAGCTTCCTCTTACTATTGGTTTATCTGTTCTTTCTGCACATTGCAAAGGGTTGGACTAGATACTCTTTCTGATCTCTTCCAAGTTGTATGAGTTTATGATTCTAGAATCATATTTACTACATTTCATTTTAATTAAATATAAAGGAAATTTAATCAAATGTGATTCTTCCAACTACTTTTTCAAACATATCCTTTGGCTTGTGCAAATGCATCTCCAGAAAAAAGTAGGGTACCCCTAACTTTATGTCCTTAGTTTATGTCATGGCATGTCAACAGTCCCAAAATCATAATCATAATGGAGTAAGAAAGGCTGTGATGTTACTGCTACAGAAAATTAAGGTAGGAGATGACCAGGCTGAGCCCGAAGGAGGGGTCAAACGCATCATCAGTCTTGAGTCCCTTCTCACCCACAAGTGAGCTAAGCCCACCTTGAATGCCATTGACTCTTATCTACTGCCAATTTGCTTTGACCATTAGTAGTTCATATTCTTGTAGAGAGCATTAGAATACAATACATCTATATTTATTTGTACTGCCTGGACTCCTGATTTCTTGCCCTTGACCATTAGCATGAACAAGTTAATCCTAGCACTTGGAGATATCCAATGAAACTAAATGGTAGAAGTACTTCTCCCTAGTATCATAGTACAGGATATTATTCTAGTTGGAATCAACCTGACTTGCAAGATCTTATTGGGAGAAAAGAGGTCCATTTTCACTAAGAAGCAAAGGAGGCTGATACTGGCTCTTTGGAGGAATCTTCCAGTTCAAATCAAAAATCTGCTAAATGTATTCCTTCCCAGGCCATATTTCAGAAAATTCTAAAAACAGAGCTCTTTCATAAACTGTTGTTGGTATAGAATTAGCCATTGATTGCTATTCATTTAAGGTATTTAATTGTTTATGATATATTAATAATAGATGCTTTAATTAGATGGACCATGGAAGTTTTAATTGTATTTCCTACCTGTAAACTACCAAGAATAACTATGGATTGCGGCAAGAGAAAAGTGTGATAAATAAATACAATAAATAAAGCAAAAGGCAATGATGCCTCTCAATATGGATTGCTTTAAAGATTTAAATTATGCAAATGTAGAGAAAGAACACTGTGAATATTACCTTTAGTTCCAGAATCAGTATGCCTTTGAATGCCAGTTGCTGGGTAACAGTATCAGGAGGTTTGCTGTTTCAGTCGCCTTATGATTATGGATTTAAAATGGCAATTGTTTGACTATTGTAGAACAAGCCTAGCAAACTAGATATTCGGTGGAATTTCTTCCAGTGTTCCTGACATCCATAGAATCTTCCTTGAAATCTGAAATTGCATGAAAGAGTTGCTATTTGCAAAATGAATCATAAGCTGAACTCAATCAGAATTTCTCTTTAGACTCCCCACAGTATGAATAGAAATATCTGAACTGAGGGCAAAGCACACTGAAGATTATGCTCCAAATGTACCTTTCACATACCTTTCAGGCTACATAACGACCACTAGTGCATGAGGTACAGCTGTGCAGTATTCAGTTCTGAAGAATGCATAGATTTTTGGATCTGGTGCAAGCAGCTTCTCTGTAAAACAAGAAACAATTTTTTTTCTGGGTCTCACATGATAGTTGTATAAAGGAAGATATGTGTTTGAATTAAGGAGGTGGTGATAAGTTGGTACTCCTTTACTGACATTAAATCACCTATGATGTCCTAACCTGCATGACTGCCACCCAAAACCAGAAAAGGATGAGAGGCTTCTTTAAAGAGAAGGTGCCCACAAATGGACCAAAATTTCCATATCTTGTGTGATAAAATTTCCTGAATCTGGGAACAGGCTCCTGCAAATGATTGCAGCTCCAGTCCTTTGTCATTAGGCCAAATGAATAGCAGCGTTTTCCCTGTATTCAAATTCCCCTGCATATTTCTATGGACCCAATACATAAACTGGCAGATTCCAAGTAAGTTATCTAAATAGGTCCTTACAAAGAAAAGTTGCAGTAAACGTTTTACAAATTGGGGGCAAGGGGAGGGGTGGATCACCAAAATGTAGAGAAAAGATTAATCTTTGCAAGCCAAGCACAATTGCTAGTTTTTGTTTTTTTAAAAAAAGTTTCCCAGAGTTACTTTCCCAGCCCCTTGTCAGATCCATCCTGCTTCCTTCTCAGACCCATCCTACGTCATACGTACTCTGAATCCAATTAGTAAATACCTAATGCCCAAGGGAAATCTTACTATCCTTGTGTGGTATAGTAAATATATGAAACTTTCTGATTTACTTTTTTTTCTGAAAACAAACCCAAAGATTGTTTATAGTAAGCTTTTATTATCAGAGACTATTATTTGGCATCCTGTATTACATAGACCTAGAAGTTTCCAGTACTGAATAAATTCAACAAATTATTTAACGATTTTGCAAATGTGGATTATTTATATAATCTCTCTCATAGTGATATACATAATATTGGAATGATCTGTTTGTTTTAATATTAATTAAAAAGCTAATTTGTCTTCTAATGGTCCTTAGAAGCTCACTATGCTTTGTTTCATTCTGTCTTTATAGATTCTGAGCCAAGAGACTTGTGCACTATATGCTATGCTCAGTTAGGTGGTCTGATTGGAAATTATACCCTGTTCCTTGATTTTGGTTTATTTAAGTAGATGTTTTTATTTATATCTGGATTTATTTATATCCTGAAATTGAAAAGTAGAGATAAATTAATAAACAGATGATATTTTTAGCATTGAGATAAATTTGTCTGAAACACTAAACACAGCAGCACATGGGAAATATCTCTTCTTTCAGCCCACTGAATAACAGCATAAGGTATGGACAAAGACATTGTCCCTTCTTTCTCCAGAAGAAAAAAATAGATTTTTAGACAGATGTTCTACATGTTTCAGATACAGTACTCAACTTTTATAAAGTACAGATAGATTTTATGGCCATGACTCAGATTTATCTTATTATGGTGTCAGTTGAACTGCACAAAATATTGATATATAAAATTTATATTTTGTCATAGGCAGAAGAGTTATGATTGTGTGTAGTTGTTATTCATCTACCACTTTCCCCTCCCAATTTAGGAAAAAAGCAGGGACGACAATAAACTCAATGGCAGATGATGGTTTTGGGCATTGTACTGCCCATCTGTCCAAAAAGACCGCGCGCGCGCACACACACACACACACACACACACACATCATTATATGAAGATATACATCCAGAAGTACATTTAGCTGTAATGTTTTGTGCTGTTTATTTTTATTGTCTTTCTTCTTTTTCTTCTGTGCTTTTTTTACTTCATTTATTTTATTTTCTATAAAATCCATTCAATATTTATTGGTGAAAAGGCAGGGCTTTTATATATACAGAAGTAGCATAAAGAAATCAACCTTTTTGTGATTTGGAACAGTTTTTCAGTTAGCCAATGGGAGTAACCCACTCTTGCTATTTTCTTCCAGACTGATCACAAGGGGCAAGAATGCTCCAGATCCTCCTTCCTAATTAAAACTAGTAAATACGCAAATAAATAGAGGATTTACTTCATGCGGCTGAGGAATCTTTATGTAATAATAAATCTGCAGGTCTTAAAAGCGTAACAAGATATTCTTGTTACAAAAGACTAAGCAAATGGAATGGCATCTTCTTGCACTAACCCTTATTTATCATTAACTTTCCAATCAATCTAAGCTTAAATCTACAAAGGTGATGAGTATCTATGTTTTGCTTTCTAAAGTGTTATGTACTATGCACAATGCCATCAGTGGACTGGTAAATTGAGGCTGGTATATTCCATATGGTTGAGTGGTTCGATCTTCTGCTAAGTATGTAAACTTTCCAATTTAAGTATCAAGAATCTTTGTAAATTTACCAGAAAACAAATGTAACTTTCTGCTCATCAGACTTCCTTTCCTATTTTTGTAATGCAGAATTTCTGTATGATAAATCTTAACATTTGGGATATTTTTAAAAAATCGATATATACTGGGTGAAATTTTACTGTTGCTGGCATAACCATATGCTACGTTAATAGTATATAAAGTCATCCATAAAGTAGAAGGCCAAAACCATCATTCTAATTAATAAATCAATTAAAATGACGGTTTTGACCTTCTAGTTTATGGACAATTATATTGATGAGTAATAATGGAATGATCTTTCATTTTTTTTCCTTCTCTTGCTAAAGCTATGCAAAAACACATGTCAGCTTCAGTTGACTTCAGTGTTTTCTGTGCTTATAAATCCCTTGAAGGACCTGTGTACTTGATGGGTTATTTACAAGTACTTTATTTAGCTTGAAATAATGGGGGATCTAGACTGTTCATATTCTTATATGGCACCCTCTGTAAAAATTCAGGATTTCTTTTTACAAACTTCTTACTGCAATTTATACATGAATGCCAAAAGAACTGATCCCAAGTCTTTTATAATGTAGTCCAACAGAAGATGTTTGCCTTTGTTCCCAATGAAGTAATTCCTTGCCTCCTTCTGCTACGTTATAACTGCTACTTACAGGGATTCAACAGAACAAGTTTCCAAGCTGTATTTGTATGAATCACTTTGGAGTTTTTCCATTTGCAATCAAATTCTGCAATCTCTATCTGCTCTAGAGTTAATCATTCAACTTACTTCTAAAATGATCTTAGCCCTGAAGATTTCATGCTCTGCTCCAAATTTTCCTTAATTTTCAGAGTTCCCCACAGTAAAATACATTAGGGCAAACCTGTCCACTCTGTGTTGACGGGAAGAAGTTAATTATGGTAATCCCCAAGCCATAAATACTAACTAGCAACAGAGGAACTTTTCAAGTAAATATGGTCCTAACTAGATTTATGGGAACGTGGCTGGTGCCAATCTTTGTCTTATTAGTAAATAAGACATGTGATGTGACATAATATCCAGTTCCCTCATGGATCCCTCATGTAGAAATGTTTTGAAGAAAGTGACATGTTTTTCCGATGTCCCCTTTACATATGGGACACATCTACATTTCACATGGTTTAAATCAATCAAATCAAGTTGCTTTCTGTAATGAATTTCAGCAGCCTTGAGGTGTTGTGTTCATGCATTCTCCCTTTTGAATACATCTTAAATGCAGCAGCTAAACAGCTGTCAATCACCCTGAGAACTCATATATGCAGAGTAATCTCAATTCAGAACTCAGTAGGGTGTGGCTTTTTTCTCAGATTAATAGCATGAGGAATTGCTGTGCAAGTTAAATTAGGACGTGACACCACATTTTCTGCTACTATTATTGTTCAGTCATTTTCAGGCTCAACATGTGTGGGCTAGCAGATTGCCATTTCCCAGGTTATACATGCATGGATTGCATTCACTCAGTTATAGAACTGCAATGATTCTGTATTGACTTTCAGTCATTCTACATTGACATTCAATGATCACAGATGCTCTAGTGAGCAGGCAGTTAAACTAAATAACTCTTTGTCTTTCAGCTATTATTCTAAGGATGGAATTTGAGTGAGACTGTGATATTTGGGTCTTGATGTCTATCTTTGGGTCTTAGTTTCTACTTTAGTAATCATACAGTTGCAGGTAGTCCTTGACTTACAACAGGAGCCTAGAATTTCCATTGTTTGTCATGACAGTCATAACTTGAGGAACTCACATAATCAATCCAGGTTTTATGACATATGGGGAGACATAGAGTGAACACAGTAATCATTAAGTGAATGCCACAGTGGTTAAATGAACCCCTTGTCCAGCTAAAGGCTTCTGGCAAAAGAGCCTGTAAATGGCCATAAATGCAAGTTGGTTGTCAGGTACTTCAAATTCAATCACATGACTGGGAGGAGTGTCTGTTGGAATTTCAAAACCAGATCGTAAGTACCTTTTGGGGGGGGACGGTCTATCATAACAACAGTCGCTAAGTAACTACTTATAAGTCAAAAACTACTTGTAATAACTGAAAAAAATCTCTCTAGCTTGTATTTAAGGGAGGTTCAAAAATTGCACATACGTGTGTGAGGTATATGTATATGTGTCCTTGAGTTATTCAGTTATACATCTTTCTGTTGTTTTGTGCTTTTGACAAATGGCATTTGATCATTATAGTAGATTATTAGCAACAGTTTCAAACTACATCCCTGTCCAAGTGCATCTATTCTTGCAAGAACAGTATGAGATTGATATAGTACAGGATTCTGCTGAATAAAAGACCTCATGGAGAGGCAGTGTGATATAGTAATAAAAGTGTGGATTTAGACGAGGGAAATCCAGGTTTTATTCCAAGTTCAGCCAGGATGTTCTCTTGGTGATCAGGAGCTAGTTACTCTGCCTCAGCCTAAACTACCTCACAGAGTAGTTCCTCTGGTGAAAAATAGAAGGAAAACATAATATATATATATTACTATGTGCTTCTGAGTGCAAGGTAGAGTATAAATTGTCATCAATCATCATGTCCTCCATTGAATCACTGCTCCTCTGATGAATAAATAAAGGCTTTTAATTCATGTCATGCTACATTGGCTGCATTGTGGTTAACTACTCAGGCAATTGTCCCCTAACAAATTAACCTACGAACTCCAAAAAATCATACCCACTGTCTTAGACAGCTTCTTAATGTAACTTAATTTTATGCCAGCTGGAACACTGTTTTCTCAGACTTCTCTGGATGAAAATTGTATTAAATAATCTCCATATTACAGGTTAATTGTTGAAACAATGGAAAATAGGTACATAGAGGGAGAGGGGACTAGTTAATGGACCAAAACAGTTCTGAACTTTATAAACAGCAGAGATTTTTCAGAAATCCTGTTATGCTTTCATAGCTCTAATTACTTTTATTTAGTTAAGTCAAATATTTACAAGTTTTGGAAGGCAAAAGCTCTATGTTTCTCACCCACAAAGCTCATAAACTGACCATAAACCTAACCATAAAACCCTTTATATATTCTCATGCCTTAAATTTTTATTGTTAAGCAAGTTCCTTTTGAATGGCTAAATTGCAGTAAGAATTTAATGGTATTCAAGATATACTCACCAAAATATGTCACAATGGAAATTTCCCAATCTCTTCTGTTTATTAGATCCCTTTATGCCCCCTCCATCTCTCTGTGTTTGGAAAGTGGGATCAAGTTTATTTATTGGAGAAAATTCTATCTGCAGGAGAAAATCATCATTATCACCATCGCCATCTGTAGAAAAGAATATATGATATTTTTATGAATTTGAACTTATTTCCAGATAGGGGACTAGTTAATGAATTTAGAGACAGGTGGAACTATAAATTCCAGCATGTAACATCTGGTGTAGTATTACAGTGAGCAGAGAAAGTCTTCTACTATTGTTAGCCAACTCACCACAGCTTTTCTTTCTCAAAGGTAAATGTTTAGATTGAGAAGGTTGTGTTGAAATCATCTTTGTAATCAGGTGTCTTCTTTTGATTTGATGTAATTTATTATTGCCATCTAGGAAAGTGTTAGAAAATCATCACAATTATTTTCCACTCATTATGCTCAAGAAAAGCTAAATACACAGCATATTCATTTATTGCTCTGCTACAATTCATTGGTTTTCCCATCCTTGATCAAGATCCATAGACATGAGGACCAAGTACGAGACAGGGCCTTTGAGTGGTGGGAGTAAAAAAATAATAACTGATTATAGCTGCCATCTTTTTTTATACCTCCCCTCCTGATAACCCTGAAGTGAGTTGTGATGTGTGGGAGAGTTGCAATGGGAATTCTGAGAAAATTGAACAAAGAGGACAAGAATACTATGATTGTTTACCTAAAAGGAGTGAAAAGTCTTTTGATTTTTTGTTATGTTAATAAATGTTTCCAATGCTGTATGTTGGTTGCATATTATTATTGATTTCTTTTTATTGCATTGCTTTTAAATTAATTTGCAGAGGTTGAGATTTATATTCCTTGGAATTATTTGCAACTGAAGTGGACCGTATGCCCAGAAAGTAACATATAGTAAGTTTTTCCCACTGTTGCCTGTCGCTTCATATCCCATTCCACTATGGAGTTAGAAGCATGGGGATATTATTGATGTAATGGGGTGAGAAACTCTACTGCCTTTCTAATATTCTCCCATTCCTTGGTTCTAAGGCATTAACACTATTAACATTAACACAAAAGTATTATATCCGTGACCAAAATACTTAAAAGATCTTCTCACCATCACCTATTCCTCAGAGATATCCTGGTTGTTTAAATCAAACTTAATCAAAGCCCTGAAATAAATTCAAAAATCACATTTTATTTTTCCTTGCATTTGATCATTTTAATTGATTATGAAGTTTATGAGATTTTTTTAAAATACTATTTTTTGTATGGAATGCTGTCTGTCTGTCTGTCTATCTATCTATCTATCTATCTATCTATCTATCTATCTATCTATCTATCTATCTATCTATCTATCTGATTTCTAAATAAATAGAGTTTATGCAATGCCAATATTGTGTACTTATGGCAAACCTATTAAATCACTGAAAAATAGTTCCTCCCAAAAATGAGTAGTAGTCCTGTGATAGTGAAAACAATTAAAGAGAGAAATTATTCAGTGGCGAGGAATTTGAAATACAGAGTTGTCTAATTTGAAGTGTGTGAAAGATTAACACATTTTTAAAAATAATTACAATGTTGTTAATATGTCAGTGCCTCTTATTTGCAAGGCATAAAAGATTGTGGTGGCTTAATTTTCTGATCCATGGATAAATGATGCATATTGTAATTGTGTTTCATTGCCTATTTTAATAATAGTCTGTAGCATATTGATTGAAAAATTTAGTTTTAAACTCATGAGAGCAGGAGGGCCCAAGGAGCTTTTAGAAGTTGGGAGAGAAAATATGCATTCTTCCAAGGTGACCCTATATGCTGAGATTTCACCTCAGGGACAGAGTTCCTGTCAGCCCTACCAGATAAACCAGATGGAAAACACGGACAGATGAACTAATTTTACTGTATTGTAAAGCTATATTAACAGAGTGTTGTAAATCTGAAGGCACAAATTCTCCATCACTAACTTTTAACAGCTTGATCCATTAGGGTGGGTTCTTCTGAAGTTTCTTTCTCTGACCATTAAGCCACTGGGGGCTCCTGCCTCTCTTATCTGATTGTTTCCTAGAAGCTTCTCTTTCCATCTTTCCCCAAGGTCTTTCACACATAATTACTTTTGCTCACTTCCAGCTACAAAATACTTTCCTTAGGGTTAATTGCAAGCCTCGGGATCTGTCAGATGTGAATTAGACCATAAGAGGATTGCAACAGAGATGCAACTAAGTTCCTTATTTAACTTTATTTAACAAACCTTTATAGTAACTTCTTCGTAAAGTTTTGACAATCTAGACCTCTACTTTCTTAGGTAAAATGTTAGACATACCACTAGACATACTACTATCCTACTTTATGCTAATGATGCAATACTTTGTCCTACACAACCATAGCATTCTGAACTTTAACTTCTTATTCTAGGCGAATACTTCTGGTCGTCAGTTATAAGTAGTCCTTGACTTACAGCTGTACTGGAGCCTGCCCTTTATGGTTATAAGTCATGACAGTTGTAAAGTATGATTTTATTTGGTGGCAATCATTAAGCAAATGTGATGGTTGGTAAGCAAACCAGTTTTGCTGAAAACTGGAATGCTGGTTTGGGGCAAAAACATCATAAAACCAGGTTATGGGGGACTGCAGAATTCTGCAAACAGACATAAATGTCATCTGACAATGAGATAAGTGGCATATAAATTTAATAAATAATATGTCGAGGATGAAACTTTGGCAGTTATGTGCCTCTGCATTTCAATTTGCCTTTAGATCAGGTACGTCAAGGCCGATCACATTGTGGGCTGTATGGTGACACATCAGGAGTTTTTCGCCTTTGCGGGGCTGGGGTGGGCATGGCCTGCATGGGCCAGATGTGGTCCATGGGCCGCGAGTTTGACATGCCTGCTTTAGATTAAGGGGTGGGGAGGTGTTACTTTCAAGTGGGTAGATGGAGAAACGAAACCTCTTTGATTCAGCTGCAGACCGTGAGAGCTTGAAGCCTTGTCAAGGACACCATAACAGATGAGGATTTGAAGCAGATGATTCCTATAACAAAGTGGACTTGTTGATATGGATTACATAAGACGTTGGGGGTTTGGCTGGGAAAACTATTATTTAAGTCTATGAATTGATATTGGAACCTCAGAGTTAGTTTTTCTTCGACACAACCAAGCTATGTATTCAATAAATTCTCAAGTTGGATGTTGACATAATATTTAAATAAAATGTGGGCCGATTGTCGAACACCTGAAAGCTAGTCATGTAACCGTGGGGCTAATAGCCATTTGACCTTCAGAATTGTAATAAATACATAAATACCGCTGGAGAGATCTGTCATAACTTTGAACAATCACTAAGCAACCATTTGTAAGTTGAGGACCACTATATAGCAACACCAAAGTGTTGGTGTTAGCTAAAAGATCTTTGAAACATAAATGGCAAATAACTAGCAATGCTCTAGACAGGAAATCTATATATGATCTGGGAATGATTTTGGGGACTATTGGGTCCTAGGGGCAGAACAGCTTGCCATTAAGAAGTGCCATCATCATCATCATCATCATCAACCTTTTTCTGTGTAGAGGCAGATATTTATGGCAGTTGCCATCAAAGTCTTTGAGGCTGGAGCTTTAGCTCAAATGCAGTACTTTATGGCTCTCAGGTGTGCTTTTATTGCAGTTTTATCAAATTGGAAAGGATTCATTTCAGTTTTCTTTTTTCTCTTTCTTGTCTTCTTTGTAGCCTTATGCGTGCCTAGTGTAGCATTACAACTGGAAGCAGGACGGATTAAGGTTGAGGCCAAGACCTGGCTTTTACGATTAATTAGTAGCTTAATTAAATTTCTTCCTGGTGGATTTAGCATCACTTACTATGATTGACAATTTTCAGTCTAATTGACATGGAAATGTAAACTCCAAATTGGCTTTACTTGGATTCTCTTTTAATTGCCTATGGGGTTTGATAAAGGGAAACAGACTAGATCAAGAACTTTAGATTGTGAGCATCAGTAGGATTTGGCTAAGCTGCCAAGTGCCGTTTACCCTGGAGTAATTTTGAGTTTTTCCCAACCAACCTCAAAAGTAACTCAACTAAGCACCTTGATGCAGTATATGGTCTTTGCACTATTTTACCATTAGAATTCTTGGAGGGTGGATTTTCATGATACCACATCCACTCCTGGAGCTTGGGGGAGGTTGAGACTCTGATTCATCTTTTGTACTCATTTTTCATTATATTTGTGCCATCATATTTGTGCAATTGGTTCTTGGTTGATGGATGAGGTAGATGTGATATAATACTGTGCATACTTCCTTTTTATTGGCAGACATAAATACAGCTGTTACTCCTAATATGGCCAAATGTTGCAGCTTGTTGCGTCTGCTAAATGGCCCTTTAGGAATCAAGTTAGTGACCAGCTATTCAAACTTCGAGCTTTCTCTGGATTTCTGACAATATTTTTTCTGCAGATATTTGGTCTACTTTATTACCTTCTTATTCTGGATTGGCCAGTTATTACAATAAAGATTTGATTAAAATGAACAGTCGAGTGCTTAGGTAGCAGAAATTTGACTACTACTTGTTTCAGGAAAGTGAACAGATCTAATTAGATAAAATAGTGCATGCACTCTGTTTGATATGACTGCTGCATTACAGCTAAACTTGTGTACGCTTTCTATACTTAAGATGCTTGATTCAGACAGTTTATAAAGTGGACACAATCTTTATGTGATGAAAATGTAGCTGTGACCTCTTCCCTTCTATTATGCACATTTCAGAATTTTGAAATCACACTGGGAACCCAGTTGGCATGATTGCATAAATTCTCTTTGTGACACAATTATGCTGTACATTATGTTATTAAATTGATGGAAGGGAAAGGTTTCCTGGTTCTCATCATGTGAACAATTGCTTTCCTGTGACTTTCTTTGCTCTTCTAAAGTTGCAAGGAGCCACTTTACTTACTGGGTTTTTGCTCTCTTTCTTAAAATCTGAATTTGCCTTCTACCACTACTTGTAGAAAAACCCTACTGTTATTTTCTTCAGCTAAATCCAGTGCTTGGGGGATGATGATGATGATGGTGGTGATGATGATGATGATGATGATGATGATGATTATTGATCATCGCACAGTCAGTCAGATGTTCAGACTGGATTTGGAATTTTTGTCTACCTATCGAGTCCTTACCAAGGACCTGGGATAGGCAGATGTGGATGTTTAATGGTATTACAGATACTGTTGCAGGATGGAAGCAGTTCCTAGTAAGGCCACCTTTTGCAATTGATTAATGGCGAATTTGTCAATGCCAATAGTGTTCAAGTGGTGTCCCAGTTGTTTTGGGATTGCACCCAAGGAGCCTATTACTATTGGTACTACCCTTGCTTGCCTTTGCCATAGTCTTTCTATTTCTATTTGTAGGTCTTTGTATTTTGTTATCTTCTTTCTCATCTATTCTGCTGCCACGTCCACTATCCAGACTTTTTTGTCTTTCTTATCGACAATTAAGTCAATAAGAAAGTCTGGGATATGTTGCAGGTGCTTGTCTGTTAAGTCTGGAGTATGTTGCAGGTGCTTGTCTGTTTGAATTCTGAAATCCCAGAGTAGTTTAACTTCATCATTTTCTATGTATATTATTACTCAATAAGTTTATTTTCTGGCTGTGGGTAATAGTGTTCATGGCTTGGATTTGCACAATTTGCTAAACCAGTAAAAACAAAACAACCCGCCTCCCCAAAGATATCCCCAAATTCCTTATAAAATCGCAAGTTTAGCCACTGACCTGCAACAGGTCAGTTCCTTTCTCTTGGGATCATCTGACTGTGCCATGGAATGAGTGGTCAATGAAATGTGTCAGATTGCACCCAACCCAAAAAATATCACATTTGTTCTCTGCTTAACTACAGTAAGGCTAAGGATAACTTTAATCTGCTTCCCATGTGGGCTGGGAGATGAACATGAAGAGAACTTCAAAAGGATGCAGCAGAAAAAAGAGATTGCTGGGGTGTGTTCATGTGGTAGTTAGGTACAAGTGAGGAAAGCCTTTTAACTATTGAAGTTAGAAGAGACCATTTAGACTATCAATGCAGGAATCCTAATTAAAGTACCCCCTACAAATAATTGTGCAACCTTTGTTTAAAAAGCTCAGTAGAGGTTTTCCAAGCACTCTGTAATAAATCATCACTCTCCCAACAATTAATCATTAGCTCAACTTTGACTTGATTTGATAGACATGAAGTTTCTAAATTAAAACTTTAAACATGGGCAAAAATGTAGCCAGAGAAACCCTAGATTGCCTGCTGATCTCAGAGAGTTTTATATATTCTAAGGGTTTATAGTTAAGTACTTTTCCTACCTCCCTTCCAGACTGACAGATAACTGGTTCAGTGCCTGGTAACCTTGAAGTTGTGTGGTTGTGATATGTTAATATAATGGCTACCTCCACCCCAAGAAGTGTTGGTTGCCACATTGTCTTAGAGGAGTAAATTGGGCAAGATCAGAAACAAAGGGCTGGAGACAAAACTAAAAATGCATAAGGGTCAACTGCTTGTCCTATTCCCAAACAATTCTCAATCTATTAATGAGAAAAAGAGACAAGATTTGAATCTTGGTTCTGCTATATACATAGTTTCCTCTTTCAATTTTCAGTTGCTGGTTCTCTTTATGCTAACAGTTTTTGTGTTGAATCTCTCCCTGTATGCCTTCTAATTACAGTATAAGTCTGAATGAAGCCAGGCATCAAACTTTATACCCAACATCCTTACTGCATGCTCAATCATCTCCACTCTCCCTTTATATTAAAACTTAAATGACATGTTTTTACCTCTTCTCAAAAGAGTATGGAGAGATCAGATACCCTAACAGGGCTGTAGCAATTAATTGCAAGCAGAATGTAGTTTTTCTGTAGCTACTGACCCGTCTCATTGTTGATCATATAGCATAACACAAATCATGTTTACTTTAATAGGCATTTCAGAAGGCATGATTAGAATTTATTTTCTATTTTAATGATGTTAATAAATATGGATTTATGACCTCAATTATAATAAAATCCTATAATAACAGCTTTTGATGTTATTGAATGAGGCCAACTAACACTTTGAGGATTTCTGATTTCTGTATCAGTGTACTTATTTTCTAGACAAAGCAATAGCTTTACCGAAGTGTAATGTGGTGCTTTTAAAGATACAGATAAAGATACAGATAATCAGTATACGAGGGCAATATTTCAAGTACAGATAGTCCTCACTTTACAAGCCTAGCTGGGACTGATAACTCTGTCATTGTGGCTACACTGACTTATGTCAGCAGTTCTGATTCTTTTGGGTCTGGTTGATTTTGGTTGTTAAGCAAATCAGGCATGATAAGTGAGATATCCCATGACTGTGACTTGAGACCTCTTACTGGCTTCCCGATTGACTTTGCTTGTCAGAAGCCAGCTGGGAAAGATGCAGATGACAATTGTGTGACCACAAGCTGCTGTGACTGTTATCAATGCATGATAGTTGCCAAGTGTCTGAATCACAATTACATAATTGCAGGAGACGCTGCAAGAGCCACAACTTTGAGGACCGGTCATAAGTCCATTTTGTCAGTACTGCCGTAACTATGAACTATAACTAAATAGGTCAGGGCTTTTCAACCAGTGATACGGGTACCACCTGTACATTGGCACCTGGCAGGTGGTACGCGACCATCCTAGAAAAGTGGTAGCGGGGGAGGAGAATGAGCTGAACTGGTGGCAGCACCGCATAAGCTTGAGCGAGAGATGGCTGGAGCTGCCGGGCTGTTGGCTCAGCAGAAGTACCAGGATCAGTGCCGCTTTCCAGCTGATCGGCGCTTCTTCGCGGCTGTCAGGGCTCAGCGGAAGCACCAGGATCAGCGCCAGGCACCATCCTGGTGCTTCTGCTGAGCCCTGAAGAAGCGCCGATCAGCTGGAATGTTGCAGCATCTCCAGGGTCTTGTGATTTACATTCAGATGCTTGGCAACTGATTCATATTTATGATGGTCAGAGTTCCCAGGGTCATGTGAAGTGACCAAAGCCTGCTGCAACCACCCAGCAGACGGGGGAAATAAAAACCAAACACCCCCCACCACCTCCACTGCCAATCTTCAACAGAAATGCTCACAACAATGGAAACCTCGGACAGGAGGAAGAGCGCTGCTGGGTGGGCAGGCAGGTGTCTTGCTTGCCTGTGGCTTGGGGGGCACTTTTTTCAGTGCCATTGTAACTTCGAACAGTCACTAATCGAACTGTTGTAAGTCGAGGACTACCTGTACTTCATCACTTTTTTCCCTTTTGGGGGGGGTCATCAAGTTTTTGACCCCTTGCTAGGCGACTGGTGGTACTCGGATGTTGCCATATCCTAAAAGTGATACAATAGGTGAAAAGGTTGAAAAGCCCTGAAATAGGTGGTTGTTAAGCAAGAACTATTGGCATGTGATGATTTTGAATGTGAAGGTTTTTTTTTCCCCTTTGAATATGTGGCTCTCTGTATAGCACATTGTGTAGCAATATTTGTATATGGTTTTCAATAAGCAGGTCATGTCAAATAATGTAACATGGCAAAAAGGGCTCCAGGCTGTTTTATGGAGCAGTGGACTTAATATCTAAATCACTTCTTAAGAATTTGCTCCTTAAGGGATTCATGTTTTTTCAGTCTCAGGCTTATCACAGATAAAGATGTGGGTATATTTTTTTTAATTATTGCCACAGGGAAGACTGTGGCAGGTCGAACTATGAAAATTCACAAGGGACAGCTCTCTTTGAAAGTGGAAACTCTTCAGCTATGGTCTAGGAGCTGTCTTTGAACTGAAGTCAAGGAGAAAATATTTCTTACTAACCTTTAGCAACAATGTCAGTTGCAGCTGACCTATAAGAAGTGGCTGTGTTCAATTGTTTATATCAGGGCTAGGCAAGCAGGAACCCACAAACGCCATCAGGTACAATTTTTAAAAATTTTAATCATTCATTCATTCATCCATCCATCCTTTATTTATTTATTTAATTATTTAAAAGGCAAGTGGGCATGTTACAAAGCCAAGTAGGAACTTCTGGTTTACCCTCTTTGTGTCCAAAAATAAGCCCATATGTCCTTTTAAAATGTGTACGGGACTCTGTCACCTAGTCTAAAAATACGTTGGAGGGGTAAAGAATATATGGGAAGTGGAAGGGGCAGCACAAAACAACATTACCAGATATAACAGTGTTTTAGTACTACTGCCCACAGTCACCATGGGAGTCATTTTGTGAAAAGAGGAGCTCTACCTCTGCAGAGTTTTTTCTCTGAAAGCATCTATGGCAGTGATGGCAAATCTTTTAGATACTGAGTGCCCAAAAACTGCCCCACCCCCGCACCGCCTCCACTCCACTCCAGTCTGGTGTAATGGTTAAGGCAATGGACTAAAAACGGGGAAACCATAAGTTCTAACCCTGCATTAGACACAATAGGCCAGTTCCTCTCCCTCAGCCCTAGGAATGAGTCAAGGGCAAATAACCTTTGAAATCTTGGAATGAAAACTACGACTTGTCCAGGTATTTGCCAGGAGTCAATATAGACTTGAAGGTGTATGCACATGCACATAAAGTAGAACTTTCTATGCTCCCAAAACTCCTAGCAATGACATCTACATGTTTATGTAAGTTATAATATTAATCACTTTCCTTCTAAACATGTGAAAAAAAAATTGGATAGATATTAATGTGTGTCTTGACCAAGTACTATTACAATGTGTTTGACAATTGTTTTTAACATCACGCAACTATATTAACAGGAGTTACTTTCTGTTGTTATTTTAAGAATTCTAAGAAAGACTTTCATGCTGCAGGCAGCATATAATTTTTTCTCCATTATTATTTTCTAGACAGTTGGATCTCTGGGAGTCCAGTGTGTAGGAACTGACATTTCTGTATTTTTTAAAGTTTTCTTTCCAGTATGTTCTAGCAGCCTACTTCAGTGAGGTTAACACTTTGTGTGTACGCGCATGTATGTATGTGAGCAGACATGTACTCCTCATTTCCATTATAGTATATATATTCTGGTCTCCTGAGAGGATTTAGAATAAGAGGAAATTAGTTATTATTAGTCTTCAGATTGCAGATAAATTACGTTCCTCAATGTAATTTAAGATCCTCTTTGGACCATAAAGAATGTTTAATTTAGTTTAGACAATAATGTGTTAGGGATTCTTATTTGCAATTGCCTTTCCAAATCACAAAACTGTAATCTATCACTTCTTCCTTCTAAAATTGATAAAACAAAGTTTTACAATACCATTGTGCTGCTATCCGTGTTTCAGAAATTGCCGTCTCTTTTTGTCATTCCCAGATGCATCAGATTTCAAAACACTCAGCACTTTCCCCCCCCCCTAAAAACAAATATCTTGTTCTTGGTCAGTGTTTGTCAGGTTCAACTCCAGCCATGGTTTCCCAGTGGAGGTTGATTCGGATACCAGCATCTTCCAGCTCAAGGAGGCGGTTGCTAAGCGACAGGGAGTTCCAGCTGACCAGTTACGTGTGATTTTTGCAGGCAAGGAGCTCAGGAATGACTTGACACTGAAGGTAAGTCTCCCTTGATAGTTTTGCTTCTGGGATGCATCCAGCCTCACTGCCTCTGCCTTTAACACTGCCAATCTGACATTCACGCCTGAGATCTAATAGAATAAATAGCGCCTGGGGATTCCGTGAACTTTTCTCCACACTGCTTCATTAATCCTGACCTTCTTAATTATGCATTAAAACAGCAAGCAGTAAGGATAGAGAAAACAGAGACAATGTGAGAGGGGCTAGAGCAGAAGAGATCTCCGCTCGGTGAATAAATGTTTACTGACTACAGGAGCACATTTTCTGTATCTGTTCAATTTCTACACTGCTTATTCCATTTGAATCTTAATGAAGAAGGAAGTGAATAAATGGTTCTGAAGCAGGCTGCTTCGGTGTTCGGGTGGTCTGCAATACATAACCCAAGTGTGACCCCTGGAGGATAGTTGTGAAGCTGCTCTTGCTATGTACGTGAGAGTTTGGGTAAAGTGCATGCAGAGGCAGGAACCCAGAAGGTTTTCTTGAAGACGGAGGAATGTCAAGGAACTACTGTAGCATTTGTGGGAAGGGAAGGCGTTTTGTGAGCAGGAGATGGCATTGATAAGCCTGTTTTGTTCTTAGGGCTCCACCAAGTGTACACTGGGATTATGAAGATTTTTATAAAGTAACACAGAGGTACCTATCCAAGCTCCCCACAAAAAACACACTGCCTAAATGGAACAGGGGAGGAAGGAAGGGGGGGGGGATTCTGCTAAAGAAAGGAAAAGGGAGAAGGAAGGAAAAGGAAGCACGAGAGTTAAAAGGTTAGTGCCAAGATTTGGGCTTCATTGTGATGTAACAAGGGGATGGAGGGGTTAAGGCATAGTGTTCATGAGAAAATTAGGAATGTGTAGAACAGAGAGCCAAGGCTACTGTGGGAAAATGTACAGTTGTTGTTTAGTTTCAAGTTGTTTAGTTGCAACTTGAAAAAGCGCTTTCTGCAAAATCCCAGTTGGCTGCCCTTGGAGTGGAGGTGGAGAAATGAAATGGCCTCATCCCACCAGGTTAGATTTAGAGATTAATTGACATTCACGTTCACAGGTTTTGCTGTGCCTTGAGTGGGTGCTATGTCCAGATACAGGACGGAAGGGCTGCTGAAGTGGTGTACTCTAATTTCTCCTGGGTTGCTAGGGCATTTATCATTTTAGGACCACTTCTTTGGTGGTCACATAAAAGAAACAATTGAAATGCAAATTGCTCTTGGTATTCTCTCCCATACTGCTTGGTGTTTAACCACTTATTCCTTCTATTTCAAATGCCTGTGCTAGTTTTTAAGTAGCAAGCATAAAATATAAATAACTTTCTTGCTTTCTGTTAATACTCTATTAAACTGCACTATTTTTAAGGAAACTTTTCAGTGCCAAAGACTAAATTTGAAATCTAGGCTATCCTTTCAGAAGGTTCTTTTTTTTTTTTTGACACTTATCTGTTTGCTGCCTGCATTTGTATTGAATGTTACAATTGTATAATTATGCCAGAATGTTTCTGGGTGAAATGTAAACTGTTATCTGAGTTTATTCAAAATAAGGAAATGACAACTTTTTGCAGTGTGAAACAAAGAAAGTACAATGGGAGGCCTAGTTATTTTTGTAGCAATAAGACTGTTATCCCATACCTGGAAGCTGCTTTATTACCTTATTCATAATTTTGTTTTGTAGGCCAATCTTGTCGCCTACACACCTGCTAATTCGTTTACTGCTCTTGTTAGTTTTATTGAGACCAATGTTACAAATCTGAAGAAAGATGGGTGTACATATGTATTTGTGCATAACAGTATGTAAAAATCCAATCTCCAGTGTGAGTAAGTCAAACAGTGATAAAGAATGTGGAGTGGAAAGTAAAAGAATTGTTTCTAACATAATAATTCCTTGGCGAATTTGAATAACTGTTGTATGATGTCACAGTTGGTCTCACAGTAAGATATGAAGCAGGTATACACAAAACATTCCTTAGGACTACACTAAATGGAAAAGAGAGAGAAATTCAGTCAACCACAAGAAGAGGGATACTCCCAGTTCTAGACACATCTAATCTAAAATCAGTTGTTTTAGAGCTCTATGTCTTTCCTTCTTCATAGGTGCTCTTTTGCTTCCTGAAGCAATCTCCCATGTATAGAGAGATGAGGTAGATTTCTAGATAGATAAGCACAAAACGAGAGAGGCTAAAGCACCACAATGTCACCACAATGTATAAAAGATATTGAGACTCTAGAAAGAGTGCAGAGAAGAGCAACAAAGATGATCAGGGGACTGGAGGCTAAAACATATAAAGAACGGTTGCTGGTATGTCTAGTTTAATGAAGAGAAGGATGAGGGGTGACATGATAGCAGTGTTCCAATATCTCAGGGGCTGCCATAAAGAAGAGGGAGTCAAGCTATTCTCCAAAGCACCTGAAGGCAGGACAAGAAGCAACAGATGGAAACTAATCAAGGAGAGAAGCAACCTACAACTAAGAAGAAATTTCCTGACAGAACAATTAGTCAGTGGAACAATGTGTCTGCAGAATTTGTGAATGCTCCAGCGCTGGAAGTTTTTAAGAAGAGATTGGACAACTATTTGTCTGAAATGGTATAGGGTTTGCTGCTTGAGCAGGGGATTGGACTAGAAGACCCCCAAGGTCCGTTCCAAATCTGTTATTCTATAATCTATTCTAACTCCAGCAATGTTTTTAAGGTGGCCCTGTTAAACTTCAAGTTCTATTTGGTCACTGGCCAAAATGAAGTGACTTACTGTTGGCTCTGTACATATCCTTCACAACTTTTTATGATTCTAATTACAGAAGAGGTAACTTGTCTTTGAACTGTTGGCTGTTGAACTCAACCTATATACAACCTATATGCAAGGGATTAAATTCTCTTCAGATTTCATTCTACAATCTGAGCCTTTTGGCAAGTATATACCCTGAAAAAAAGGCCAGGTCAAGCAGATGCAGCAGAGATTCCGCAAGAATTTTTTTATTATTATTATAATAAGATAAGATAATAGCATCTTTAAAGCCTGTTCACATTTCTCTGTGTCCCAACTTATGCTCAACAAAATCAAGGCTGGATTATTTTGAGTTTCTCTGTCATGCTTTCTTCTTTTCTCAGGACCTCCATATTGGCAGTGGACTTGCAGAAATGAAAATTGAAAGTTGAGTAGATAGGAGACTAGAGAAAGTGAAGCTTGAAATGTTTGAAGCATAAATGTGAAGAAGCAGAATGCACACAAATATGGGATGAGTGTTAGCCAACATAGATATTTGCCAGCTTTTTTAAAAAAAGATTTGGAATTTCATGGAATTTGTCGGGTATCCTAGAGTATCCCTTCATGTAGAACACTTGCAGTCAGAGATTCAGCGTTCTGATAAGATTTTCTTTAATTGCAGGTACAACAGTTCCTAATAGCAAAAAAATAAAAATAAAAAAACTATCACCAATGTAAACTCTAGGCATTGTATATAGCAAGGCTCATATCAAATGCTAGTTCTCTTTCTCCCATTCTTACATTGTGATGGGTTCAGAGATATTTATTTATTAGCAGGAGAATTCCTAGGCATCTATGCATTGACCTTGATAGATCATAGGATATGATATGCCAACATTATTCAGAATTGGCACATTGAAGCAAAATTGGGAAAAGAGTAGAATAGCAAGGTTTGCTGCAGTTCTACAGCTCTAATGCCAATGCATGCAAAAATCGATTCCCTTATCTAATGGCCCTAAAAAATTTAGTTCTTCCTGTGACTGCTGGGATATCCTCAGTAGATTGCCCCTACTTGTTGTATAGTTTTAATGTGAGCCATGAATTATCAATATTTTGTTCTAAACAATTAGAATACTTCTTTCTCATTTAATTAATGTTTGTAAGCTGCCCAGAGTCAGATAGATAGACAGACAAACAGACAAATAAAATTAAACATTTTTCTGTCTGCTTCAAGTGGAGGGAGATTATGTGCTGGAAACACAGTCACTTTCAGCTTGATCTGAATATAAAAAAATGATGTAAATAATGTTTGACTGAACATGTGGGTGGTAATTGCATTGTATACTTTGGAGCAAGATCACTAGAGAATTTGAATTGGGAAGGCAATGCGACTGTTGGCTGTGCATTGAAATTAATACAATTAAGTACTTTGGAAAGTTCTTCTATATGTTAATGTTTTCAGAAACTAAACCACTGGAGTGTTTTTGCTACTTGTTATTCTTAAAAGGAGCTTCAATGGCATAAGAAGAATGACCAGAAACAGGTCCTGATGAAGAATCAGGTGACTGAAGAAGAGTGGTTCTTTGAGTGACTAATAAAATATTGAATGTCACAGGGCCCAGGACTGAGTCTTGTGGTAATCTACTCAACAGGACTCCACAATCTGATATAGAGCCATTTATGAGTAACATCTAAGTGCATGTAATCAGAGGAAGTCATAGATTTCACATTTGCTGCCCTTAGAAGAATCCATTGCAAATAGGGCAGATATTACTGTTATCAAAGTACAACTATCTACTGAGATTCTGCTAAAACTGCTGATGATCATAGTCTTGGATATGTCATTATTAGTTTGAATTTAGTCATTGTCATTTTTTACTGTGGGCACACCAGCACACATTAAAAATGAAATTCTTTTGCCTGCTGTCAAAAGTGTACACATACATAACACACATATAAACATGCTATATGCAACATATGCTTATACCTACACCCTTACATATAAATACATATAAATATTAATCACTGTGCATCTTGAATACATAGCAGAAAGAGGAAACTTGAGAGTTCACAAGGTTAATACTGTATGGAACAAAAGTGTGACTGAATAGATAAAATATTATTAATTTTTAAACATTCAATGCAAAAAATGATGGTAATCAGTTCAGCAATGTGAAATTGACTTGCTACAGATAGTGGAAGATATATGGCTGAAAGGTAGATATTGGATCTGGACGGTCTAAAATTCTTTTCAGGTCAAGGAGAGATCTTGAGATTACTCATGTACATTGGACAACTGGGTTATTTATTTGCTTGTTTGTTTGTTTATTGATGGCAGATTTTTTTCTGTGGTCTATAGACAAAAATTTGGACCAAACTTCATCTTTTTAATCAGTGTAGATTTTGCTTTTTTAAACAAATTGCAATTTAAAAGATTCTTAATCTACAGAGCCATAAGTTCTGTTGTATTCACTGGGTGAGTCTTTCTTCAATTCATTAAAAAAGAAAATTACATGTCTGAGGTTTTGTAAGAATTTTTCTTTTGGAATGCACAGCAACATGGTGATTACAGTGTCGATTTTACAAGTTTGAAACAAGGTTCAATATGTCCCAAATGTTCCACTGAATTCCAATATAATAAAAGAGAGAATACAATTCTACCATTTCAAGTTCTGAAGACATTAGCTTATGTGTCTCTTTCCCATTTTTTCCTGGATCTTCCATAAAGCTAGTTCCCTTCAAATGTTGTTGACAATGTTTTTTTTTAAAATAGTTGGAAAAAAAGTACACTAAACTTACAAAAGCTGTACGGATGACTATATCCTCTGTTGTCTTTTATGGGATGGAAGGGAGAGAAGAGTACCAAATTAGCAAGAAGATAAAATTAACTTTGCAAACTAGAGATACAAATGTTTAATAATAATAATAATAATAATAATAATAATAACAACAACAACAACAACAACAACAACAACATAACACCCCAGACTTAACAATTGTCAATAAGAAAGACAAAAAAGTCTGGATAGTGGACGTGGCAGTGCCTGGAGATAGCAGAATAGAAAAGAAAGAACTGGAGAAGATAACAAAATACAAAGACCTACAAATAGAAATAGAAAGACTGTGGCAAAAGCAAGCAAGGGTAGTACCAATAGTCATAGGCTCCTTGGGTGCAATCCCAAAACAACTGGAGCACCACTTGAACACAATTGGCATTGACAAATTCGCTATTAGTCAATTGCAAAAGGCGGCCTTATTAGGAACTGCTTCCATCCTGCGACGATATCTGTAATACCATCAAACATCCACATCTGCCTATCCCAGGTCCAGTCTGAACATCTGGCTGACTGTGCGATGATCGATAATAATAATAATGGCAAAATTGTCAATGCCAATGGTGTTCAAGCACCACTTGAGCACCATTGGCATTGACAAATTTGCCATTAGTCAATTGCAAAAGGCGGCTTTAGTGGGAACTGCTTCCATTCTGCGACGATATCTGTAATACCATCAAACATCCACATCTGCCTATCCCAGGTCCTTGGTAAGGACTCAGTAGGTAGACAAAATGCCAAATCCAGTCTGAACATCTGACTGACTGTGTGATGATCCATAATAATGATGATGATGATTGATGATGATGATGATGTTGGAAGAGATCTTTCCTTCCTCAGGCAGGAAACCTTATACCATTTCAGACAAATGGCTGTCCAGTCTCTTCTTAAAAACTTCCAGTGTTGGAGCATTCATAGCTTCTGGAGGCAGGTTTAGCTTGACCAAAACACAGTCCTTATTTTCCTGGAATTTTAAGGTCTTCCATTTATCATTTGTAGAAACCTATTCAAAAAATGCACTTAAGATCTCTAAAAATATTTCTTAGTTCTTTTTTCAAAGAAAAAAACATAAAACTTTTAACGTTAATATTTTAAATGAATTTGGTTAGGTTGTTTTACCACAGTGGAGTTCATTTTCACAGCCACACATAGATTTCTTGTTGCCTGTTGGCATAAATAGTTAATATTTCCGTTTTTAAAGTAAGAGCATAAGGTTCAATGCATTTTAAATACAAAATCACAAAAGAATAATAGGAAAGCACCCTGAAGAGCACGATCTGATCTACCAATAAAGAAAAAAAGCAGGAACTCCTGTTGTTCATATGATGAAATTGGGGCCTGACTATCCATGGTAGGAGAATGTAATCAGCATAGTAAAGGAGGGCCTGACCTCTGTGTGCTCACAAAATTTTCCACACATAATCTATAGGCATATAAGAAAAAACATACAGAAACCTATTTTTGTGGTTTCTGTGTAGAATGAAATTCCTGGAAACGTTAAAACTTTTATCCCTATTTATGGAATGGTTGGATGCTATTTAATAACAGAAAAGGAAAACAGATATTAAAAAACAAAAGATCAAATGCATTTATGTAATACATTAGCAATAGCCTAGCTACAGCATACCAACTTACATCATATTATCTTAGCCATATCAGATGTTGTGTGGGGGTGATACATAAATATGTGGGGAAGTGTGTTTGGGTTTGGAATTGGCAGTCTTTGTCTGAATGCCTAAGGCAGATTGATTCATCTTCCCCTTGTTCGTCTGTAAATCTGGAGATTTTAAGAAGCTTCTCTCATGCTCTCATCTCAGATCTTCCCAAAGAGCACATGTGCAGTAAATACAGGATGAAGATTACAGAACCAAAAGAAAAATCAACCATATCATCTTCATGCTGTATTTATAGACGTTATTGCTTCTGACAGGTTCCTTCTATTGCCCATGATTTTTATTATTATTATTATTATTATTATTAGTAGTAGTAGTAGTAGTAGTAGTAGTAGTAGTAGTAAAGTTGGAAGGGACCTTGGAGGTCATCTAGTCCAACCCTCTGCTCAGGCAGGAAACCCTATACCATTTCGGACAAATGGCTGTCTAGTCTCTTCTTAAAAACTTCCAATGTTGGAGCATTTACCACTTCTGGGGACAGGTTGTTTCACTGGTTAATTTTTCTAACTGTCAGGAAGTTTCTCCTTAGTTCTATGCTGCTTCTCTGCTTGATTAGTTTCCACCCATTGCTTCTTGTCCTGCCTTCAGGCGCTTTGGAAAATAGCTTGATTCCCTCTTCTTTGTGGCAGCCCCTGAGATATTGGAACACTGCTATCAATTAATAATATACAATGCAGCTTTCTGAGAATCCTTTCAGATTAGGATTCGGTATATGTCTAGTAACTTGAGATTGGCTTTGTGTTACATCTCTTATTGTAGTTCCCATTCCAATCATGAAATGGGATCCTAGTCATGTATAGAACAGCAGTTCTCAATCTTCGTGTGACGGCGACCCCGTCACACGGACGCGCCGTGCATGCGCGGCATGGCGCGCATGCGCGGCGGCGCCCCCATGCGTGGCGCGCATGCGTGGCGGCACCCCCTGGGGGAAATGGCAGATCACGTTGTTTCGCGACCCCCATAAAATGGTCGATCGACCCCAAATGGGGTCGCGACCCATAGGTTGAGAACCGCTGGTATAGAAGGTAAAGAGAAACAAGGAAGAGCCCAAAGGAATCAAATGCAGGAAGTAGATGGTGAGTGAGACTATTTTGCTAGGAAAAGAAGATGAAGGCTTTAGATAAAGAAGTTAAGTTGTCTTTAATTTGAAAAAAAAAAAAAGCATGCCACCTTTCAAATTAGACTTTCTCAGGGGAATTTAAAACAGATTACAAACATGTAAAGTTCTAGCCCTAACCCTAATCCCTGAGATTCAGAAGTCCCTGACTTTTTTGATCTTCCAGAAACTTGTCAAGATCTGCCTTTTTTCTCCTCTATGGTGAGGATCTTAGGAGGATCCCAATATACAGGTAGTTCGACTTACAACCATTCATTTAGTGACCATTCAAAGTTACAAGGGCACTGAAAAAGTGACTTATGACCATTTTTCACACTTACGACTGTCCCAGCATCCTCCTGATCATGTAATCAAAATACAGATATTTAGCAACTGGTTCATATTTGTGATGGTTGCAGTGTCTGAGAGTCATGTGGTCAACTTTTGCAACCATCTAACAAGCAAAGTCAATAGGGAAGCCAAATTCACTTAACAGCCTTGTTACTAACTTAACAACTGCAGTGATTCACAAACCAATTATGGCAAGAGAGGTTGTGAAATGGAGTAAAAATCAACTTAAGAAATGTCTCTCTTAGCAACAGAAATGTTGGGCTCAATTGTGGTTGTATAAAATATTTAGGATTGGAAGAAACATACAGTTTATTCTGTGTGTCCACCAAAATAAGAAGGAAACTGTTTAAAAGCAGTGTACATGACACGGAATGAAGGAGGAAGAGAATCAAGTGTTTATCCTAATTATGCTCAACCTGTTGTGGGTATTTTTACAATATCTCCTTTGGAGGCTGGCCAATATAATAAAACCACAATGAAGTTAAATATTATGGAAACAATTCCTCACTCTGTATTATTCAGTGTGAAACTATTTTGGTAAATATTAAGTATAGCCAAATTATTGGAAACTTCTATAACTGGAAGAAACCATCATAAGCATTTCCAGCAGGAATCACATAAAACTGACATTCTGTTTCACAAGGACAATTCAAGTCTCTTCCCTCTTTCTCTTCTACAGACAGGTTCAAAGAAAAACTCACAGAAGCAAATTCATAGATTTTCCCCCTTCTCTTTTCTTTTCCTCTTCCTTTTGTTCTTGTTTAAGTAAACCACTTTCTTAAAATAAGTTTTCTAAATTAGGCAAACTACAGTTTGTACAAAATGTATGTTCCTTCAAAATATAGAATCCATTGATTAATTTTTTGAACTTTCTATTTCCAGAAATTCAAATCACTCCCATTGGTAAGTAGTAAAAAGAATAAAAATAATAATCACCTAACCCATGCCAAGAATGACTCTTACCTTACTCCCTGGAGATATTCTGAAATAATTCAATCTTAAGTAGTCTTGAAAAGTCATCAAGGTAGAGTAGGTCCTAACTGGCCTCAGGAGGCAGACTGTTCCGTCTGACAGGATCAAAACTTGAAAATGAGGGAGTTATCAGTATTTTGATCTATTAGGGGAGGGGTGTCAAACTGCCAGCCCATGGGCCGGTTTCATCATACTGGAGCCGCCCACCTCATTGCCGGCAATGGCGAAAAAGCTCTGATATGTCGTGCAATGTCACGTGACGCTGCAAGTTTGACATGCCTATATTAGGGGTATGTTGGATAGATCTATTTATTTATTTATTTATGAGACCATGTAAGTAAGAGCTAAAAGAAAGAATCACTGAAGGCTGTAAGTGAAGTAAGGATTAGTTGGTTTGGACCTGTTACAAGGCCCATGCGTAGAGTTTAGGTGTGGCTATGCTTATAAGCAGGTTTCCTCACTAGCTGGCTTGTATCTTGACGATGATGGCAGATGTTAGCCATCGAAAGCTTGATTTTATATATATATATATATATATATATATATATATATATATATATATTTATATATATATTTATATATTTATATTTATATATATATATATATATATTTTTACACTGCCCCCAACAATCTGGGTCCTCATTTTACCTACCCCGGAAGGATGGAAGGCTGAGTCAACCTTGAGCCGGTGAGATTTGAACCGCTGACCTGCTGAACACAGTCAGCTAAAGTGGCCTGCAGTACTGCACTCTAACTGCTGCGCCACCTCGGCTCAATTCTGTTTGAAAGAGACAGTCCTGAAGTGATTTGTGTATTTGTTGGAGAAAAAGAATTAGAATATGGAGAGGGAATAGAAACACTATATCTTTCATAGTCTCCTAAACCATTAGAGATGATCTTTAACCATGAAATGGATGATATGGAGGATAAGAAATGTTATATTTAAACTATTTTTGTATAACATTTTATAGTTATTTTTATTCTTTTTATTTTGCTACAACATGAAGGCTATGGTCATACATGGCAAACACTAAACCATGGATTTTGATTAACAGATCATATTAGGTTAGTTTCCATAAAACACTAAGATATTCAACATCTCATTAAATCAAAAGCAAACAGGCTGTATTAAACCTTGATGCTATAGATATGCCAGAACATGGTATTTTAAAATAGATTCTGTGAGCAGACTTAAAGCTTTCTACTTGTGTGTTCTTAGGCCACACAATTTGTAATTCATCTGTGGAAAATTTAGGATATAAATGGATCGTGGAAGGTATATTATATAATTTTATCTTTTTAGAAGCTTGCTACCTTATAAGTCAGGATGCTCTACCCCTCTTTTTATTTTATTTGGTGAACTTGTCTGACTTAATTTCATGGAGACATCTCTTATTAAAACAGTTTAGTTCCAAAACACTTCCCAAATATGAGTAAAAGATAGAAAGGTTCCTTTCTGCTAACTGTGGAATTCAGGTAGTTGAAGTCCACACCTTTTAAAGTGGCTAGGGTTGAGAATTAATAACCGATTATGTTTCTTTATATTTAGAGGTTGATAAACTGCATTAAAAATCCAACAATGTTACATGGTCAGGCATTTTTTTTTTTTTTTTGCTGTAGAATCATTATCTCAATCTGGATAATTTATAAGAAGACCTCCACTGTCTTTGGATTCTTAATGGCATTAGCAATAAAATTGTGTTATGTGATTCATAAGCATTTTTTCTATACCGGAGGGGTGATAAAAATGATTAGCAAGAGCCTAGAATCAGACTTGTTATGAATGCTTCAACCAAATAACTTGCTTTGTTACATAACAATGTGGTAATTACATGAACAGATGATTCTGATTGACTCTTTGGGGCATTGAAGCAGACATTAAATAAAATGGTGGTTGCATCGCACATTTGCTCTGTGATTTTTATGTGTAGCAATCTTCAGTTGAAACATCTGCTATAATGAACTTGACATTTGCACTAATGACAGCATCAGTTTACTTAATGTCCTGCATTAAATTTGCTTCCCCAAAGAGTTGTCTTTATCAAAGGCGAGGGCAAATTTGCTGCTGTTATTTTACAAAAACACATATTGCTTCTTGTGGAATTATGAACAGAAGAGTTTTGTGTTTCAGCACTATGTTCCATATTTCACAGTAAAATGTGCACATATTAAATTTTGTGCCAGGACCCTAAAGTAATAAACCTAGATTGTATCAGTACATGTAAGTGTAGCGTTACCTCCTCAGAGGCCGCCAGAAACCAGGCCCTCCTAGCCCCAGCCCCCTTTGTCAAGCCCTGCAGTAGTGTTCTCTAAAGATTGATAAGATGTCTCTTCCAGCCGGAGCTCATGCAGAATTAGTAGGTAGCCGGCTCTCGTGAAAGAGGGGCTTCTAGGAACGAAAATAACCAGTCACGATAGTCAATGCTATGATGACATCCAACAGCCCAAGGCCAGTATAGCAGCAGGAATAAAAGATTCCTCAGCGATCATTCAGAGTCAAATGGGATGAAGGAAACCCCGGCTCCAGACGGTAGTAGAAACAACAACAGTCAGTGTGCTGTAGCAATAGTTCATCCCCCCAGGGCAACTCCCCCACAATGTCTAAAACCTGTACCAGCAGCAATAGTCACAGTCCAAATAGCCTCCGGCTTTGCAGCAACAATAGCCACTACCAGTCTCTCCTCTCCTTCTGTTGCTTCTTCTTCAGTCAGGTTTCAGCGTCAAAGCCCTCCCCCCCTTATCTTTATTGTTAAAATCTGAGGTTAGGAGCCTCAACCAACTCCTTTCTACACACTCTCTCTCTTGCCTCCGTTTGAGATATCCTCCTTACGAAGGAAGCAATAAAACTCCTCTCTCTCCCTCCCTCTAGCCTTTTTTTTTTTTTTTTATTGAAAGTTTTATAAATTTTACAAAAAGACAAAAACAATACAAAACAAAAGACAACATATACAAAAAAGAAACTAAACATTACATATATAAAAAAAAAAAAAACCCCATCCCCCACCCCTCACAAAAACCCTCCCTTCCCCCCCCTGAGCTTCCCAGAGCAGAATATAGGCTTAATTAAAAATTAAGAAATAAAAATAAAAAATTAAATTAAAAAATTTATATTTATATATATATATATATAAAAAAATATCTATATATATATAAAAATAAAACTTATAAAAAAGCTATGTGATATTTTTGTATACCCAATCTAAATTGTATAAATTTTATCCATTTGTCCCAAACAGCAAGGAACTTCTCTTGCGTTTGTTGCTTTAAGAAAGCCGAAATCTTTGCCATTTCCGCCAGATAAGCTACTTTAAGAAACCATTCCTGCAATGTAGGCAAAGATTCCTTCTTCCAATATTGTCCTACTAACAGCCTAGCGGCTGTAATCAAATTTAACATCAATACAACCTCCTTTGTATCACAATCTGTAACAATGCCTAACAAAAATAATTGCGGAGTAAATTTTACCCTCCTTCTAAAAATTCTCTGGATATTCCACCATACCTCTAGCCTTTGTTTAAAATATCCTCCTTACGAAGAAAAGCAAATAAAACGTCCAGTCCCTTTACCTTCACCTGACAAACTGCAACAGCCACCCCCAGCCCTTTCCTTTCCTTTTCTATCTTTTTCTCCAGCCACACCGGCCACACCCCAAGCCAGCAGCAGCTGTCCCAATCTCTCCCTTCCCAACCAAGCTCCTGCAAACACTCTCAGACAGCTTCACTACATAAGCAATTGATAAAGACATGCTCAAATACTCTTTATTTTTTTATGAAAACTGGAAAATAGGATAACATCATTAACTTAAAGACAACTCATTCAACATGAGTTGCTCCAGTACAAACCATTGGGGATCATTCTTTGATGCTATAAAGCCAGACTGAAGCATTGTTTAAAAAGATTTTTTTGAATCCTCTTTTATTTGTTTTTTTTATCAACAACTTAAGATAGTTAACATACCTAATACTCCTCCCTCCCCCTATTTTCCCTGTGATTTTGATTTGGGCTGAGAGACAGTGATTGGTTCAAAGTCACCCAGTTGACTTTCATATTAAGGTAGGTCTAGAACTCACAGTCTCCTGATATGAGGTCTCATTGATGTCAGTGGAGTTGTATTAACCATTGCAAATGAATAAAGCATATCCAGAGGCAGATTGCTTCTAAAGATTTAGTATTTTGCTATGGTATATGGTCGGGATGTTTTGGCTAGATGTGTCCTTTGTTCATTATTGCAAAGCAAATTGTTTGCCTTCTACTTGTATAGATTATTGCCCTATGAGTTGAACTGTCATTTCTAAAATACTGAGCTGTACTCAAATATAAAGGGCACCAGACTGAGGAATACTACTGTAGACATCACTGCTAAATTTTTAGAAGCCATCCCATTCAGTATCCAAATAAAAGATTTTCACAGTGAGGATGAACTTTTACAATCCTTGCAAAACACAATGGATTTCGTTTTACAAGGAACAAAGATGGCAGAGACTTGGAAAGATACGAACATTAATGCTTAAGGAAAGACATGATTTAACTCTGACAAAAAAAATAATAGAACAATATCACTATTTAATAATGATTTTACATTGTTCAGAATTATCCAGATAGATTGAAAATGATTTTACAGAAATTTATTTATAAAGACCTATGTATGTTTTTGCCCAAAAGATAGCTACAAGATTATTTGTTTGTCAAATTTATATGGCTTGCCTATTTCATGGAAAGTAACTCCCTGTGCTGGATAGTTTAAAATATTTTAAAAAGCATAAAGAAAAATAAATTGTATTACTTGTTTTGGGATCCAGATAAAGCTTTATATAATTTGAATTAGACTGTCTGTTTAAAAAATTATTTAAACTTTCATAAAATATGAACTTTGGAGAGAATTGTTTTTAATATGCATAAAATGTATATATACTTCACAGAAGGCACAAGTAATAATGGTGATTTATTTAAACCATGTGAGATACAAAAAAGGAACAAGACAAGGTTGTCAATTGTCTTTTCTATTTATTTTAATTTTAGAAATATTGAATAGAGAATTTGAGAGGATTAAGTTCAAAAACATTTAAAAAAATAAACTTATAAACTAAGAGCTTTTACAGATTTTCTGGTCCTGGTTTTAAAGTTTAATGTTTCCCTTAAAGAGGATTGAAGCATTAGTGGTAAAATAGATAAGAATTTAATATAGTGGCAGATTTTAAGATAACAAAGAGAATATAAAGATGTTGACAAAGTATGAAATATAAAATCAAACAGAATTAATGAATAAAATGCATTTTAAAATCAAGAAGATTTAATACCATTGTCAATGACAAATATGAAGTGTGTGTCATTTCAAAATAATTATATTATTTAAGCTACAAAGACACGTTGAAAGCTTTTCTAAAGTCCCTGGGTATTAACACCATCTCTTGGGAACTTCTGGCGCATGATCGACTGACATGGCGCACCTTGGTGTATCAGGGTTGCCAGACATATGAACACAGAAGGACAATCTTGGCACAAGAAAAGCGAGCACTCTGCAAAGCCAGAGCTGCAAATGCTGAATTAACAGTGTCTACATTTCTTTGTTCAGTATGTGGCAGAACATTCCGTGCTAACATTGGTCTTATTAGCCACCTACGGACACATCGTTGATGGCCCATAACCCACAAGATGTCAAGGTCTTCATTGAAATCGATGGACGAACAACAACATTATTTAAGAATAATTATGTTAAAATTTGTAAGGTGCTATAACATAGGTGCTGCAAGATATAAATGAAAGAAGAGGATTTGGTTTGCCTGATTAGAAATTACATTTTGTAGGTTGCTGTTTAGTTTGGATGAAATAATGGATGTTGCTGAGGGGGAAAAAAGGCTTTCAAACTTAGTAAGTCATGACTTGAGATTTGGCTGGTATATTTATGGTATGATAAAACTAAGATAGACTTAGAAGTCATTTTTTATATGTGCCACACTGAGAATGTGAAACACTTATAAACAGTGCTTTTTTTGTTAAAAAAAAAAAGTGCCGGAACTCACACACGTCATACAGCCCGCCTTGACTACCCTACAAGGTTCCATCCAAAAAAGGTGCCGGAACTCCATTCTGGGTGTTCTATGACAAAAAAAGCCCTGCTTATAACCTAGATTGTGTCTTAAAATATATTTTTGTTTCTCAGCAGAAGAACCATTTTATACACAAGAAATAATAGGCAAATACAAATGCCTAACTTAGATATTGGAATTTTGTCAATGGGAACACAAAATAAAATGAACAACTAGTGCAAGAGGGAATAGTTGGAAATGGTTTCTTAGAAAGATTTAAAGCAGACAAAAGAGGATTATGGTTTTGAACATCATAAGACTGAGTTTGAAGTAGAGTTTTGTACAAAAAATGAACAGGTTATTGCTAAAAAGTACACATTTTTACTGAAATTTGAAACAAAAGATGAACAAGTAAAAGAAGAGATGAGTGGTTTTTTGTTGTTAGTTGCGAAGTATGAAAAATATATAAATAAAATAAACTGCATCTACATGGAGGGAAGTGTGTAATGGGGTGCCCCAGGGCTCTAACTAACCAAAGAGAGAAGCAACCTAGAACTAAGAAGAAATTTCCTGACAGTTAGAACAATTAATCAGTGGAACAACTTGCCTCCAGAAGCTGTGAATGTTCCAACACTGGAAGTTTTTAAGAAGAGACTGGACAGCCATTTGTCTGAAATGACATCCTGCCTAAGCAAGGGGTTGGACTAGATGACCTCCAAGGTCTCTTCCAACAGTATTATTATTAATAATAATAATAATAATAATAATAATAATAATAATAATAATAATAAGAGATAAAATAGGATAAAATCTTTGGTTATAAATGGACCAGTGGGAGAACATGTGGTTGAAACTTATTGAAATTCACATTATATTGTAGTCTTAAATATTTTTTTTTTATAAAATGAAGTATTGTTGGTATATGTCACTGCAAAAACTGTCTAGAAAGTATAAAGGCATTTCAAATTTATTATGGAAATGTAATCAATAAGAAGGGACATTAACACTCCTTCCTTTTCTTCATTTTCTCATAACAACAAGCCTTTGAGATTAGTTGGTCTGAGAGAGAGTGACTGGTTCAAAATCACCCAACTGGCTTTCATGGCTAAGAAGAGATTAGAACTCACAGTCTCCTGGTTTCTAGACTGGTACCTTAACCACTAGACCAAACTGCTCATATTTGGCACTTTTATTTGGGGACGGATTGATAAGCAGTTGTAAAAAAAAGGTATGGAATTATGATAATTGCAGCACGAAGGTGGAAATATTTGACTTCAGCACAGTTGAAGAATGGATGGTGAAGATGATGAATTTTGCTGAGATGGTCAAATTGATACCATCAATTTAGAGTTAAAGTTAGAGATCAGATGTTGTCTAAATACAATGCTGATTAAAAACCCCTTATTGACTTTCTGTGGAGCAAAAAAATATGAAATGATGATGTATGGTTTTGATGACTAGAAAAAATAGGTTATAGAAAAAATATAAGGAATGTTATAACCATAGAGTAAGAAGTTAATTTTCATTTATGGGTGTACCTGCTGTAAAAAAAATTGGAAATAATTTCTTTATACTTTTTTTCCACACTGATGCTTTTTTCTTATTTCCTTTTTTCTTCTCTCTTCATTCTAAATTTTAGTGACTATTAATTGTTATCTTTCATCCTAACATTTTAATATAATCTCTCTCTCTCTCTCTCTCTCACTCTGTGTGTATCTAATTAAAGATTTTGAAGTGCACAATACAGAAATGGCAGAAGAGCTTACCTGCTGAATCAGTATGTTTGAAACATGCAGACATCTGCAAGTGAACTAAAACATAATGACAGAAAAATGTTCACTTTTTCAGGCTACTGAACCAAATCATATAAGAGTAAAGGTCTGAAGCAGAGTGTTGCATATAAAATTATAGGCAGATTTCTCATTTTCCTTCATAGTTTCATCAGGTTTGAGTAATGCAATACAGGAAAAACATAAAGTGCTGCAACATACTAAGATACGATGAGGCAAGAGGAAAAAAAGCTTTCACGGTGACATCAGTTTGATGGCTTGGAAGGTGCAGAGAGATTTATAATTGCTGGAAACATAATATGGTCAACCTTGTATAGGTTAGTAAATATATATTTTAGCTCAAATAACAGTTTCTAAAATCATAGTTTTATACAGCTGGTATATGATTATTTAGCCAGTATGGATTTATGCTAATGTCTGCATACACATTTAAACTAAGTACAGTCACTTAGTTTTATTGGTTATTGATTATGCCATAAAGCAAAAGCTTAAGGACAATTCCTGTCCCCACACCCATTATAAAATACTTCCCTTTTTACAAATCAACAGTTACTTCCTGTTGGAATGAAAGAAAGTCAGTCATAAAGATAACCCATTCTTCTCTATAAGGAATATTCTTTAGACCATTAAAAGATGTTGGAACTATATCACAGATTACCTGTGTTTATCTCAGTTATCTTTGAGGTTTTAATATTTGAGTCATAGTTATCATTTCCAGTAAAAGATCTTCTTGGGCTTATAAACCTACTGTAACAAGCCAGATAATTGGAATCTAGCATGTCTACAGATCTATACACAAACTATGATGATTGTGTCATGTTTATTAGTTGGAATTATGACTACATTATATTTTATTTGCATATCATTAAATCAGGCTGATTTACAGTGGTTTACAAGCAGATAAAGCAAAACAAGCTAACGTTACAGAGATAAAATCAGATAAATCAATAACCAATATAACTAGAGTAACACAATAAACATATAGGAGGTAGTATTGATAATTATACTTTGATGTCATCTGGAAAAGATCCATTTTGATGTCTTTCCATAATGAAGTTGTTCTTATTACATGTTCAAAATGATGTTCTTACTCTCTGATAAAGTTTCATTATAAATTCGGAGAGTAAGAAAATTGAACTTTTAATGTTGAAATGGATAAAAGTTCAAAGAAGTTTGACTTAAGAATTTAAGTCAAAGGAGGTTATGGGTGATCAAATGAGCAGATGGATAAACTCCAGAAATCATGCCTAATGTTTTAAAACCTATAATGATTTTTGGAATTCATTTGGAAAATAGACATACTCCAAGTTTGTATTGGAATGGAAAGAGATTGTTCTGAATTGTGTCATTCAAAACTGTTAATCTCTTATTAATGCTGAGACTCTGTCAATTGTTTACCAATTCCTTTCTCCTTACTGTTAAAAATTGGGTATAAATTTCTAAATTAATAAACAAACACATACGTTCGCCAATTGTATTTTGTATTACAGATATTTTCAGTTCCTTTCAAAAAGCAGAAATTGCTTTTTATTGATACGCATTATTGTGGCACAATTAGCCAGAGTTGGCACTTTTATCCACTTATTGAGTCCTTCCTCAGGACCTGTCATAGGCAAATGTTTTCTGATGATGTTATAGGTATTGTTGCCGGATTATATTATTATTATTTTAAACAAATTATGTATTAGTAACAGCGTTCCCACAGAAAATGTAAACTCTATTTTGAGCTAGTGTTAACCCTCTGTCTGTGTTTGTTTCTGGGTAGTTAGCCAATAAAAGTGTTAAACATTTGAGCTGGCTAAAGTCAATAGTGCAGTTACATTTTCTCATTACATTCAGTTGCATATTTGATTGAAAGTTCTAAAACATCAGAGAAAATATTAAAGAAGGGAATACCAGAAGAGAAACCCAAGCAAAAGAAATCAATTTCGTTAATGGCTCTCTTCCTTTTTTTATTACTCTCAGTGTTCAGTTTTTAAAATTGAACAATGAACACTTTAAAAATGAAAGACAACCAAGTGTACTTAACTGATTAAAAAAAATACCAGTCAATTATTGTCAATATGTTCCTAAATCTGCAACAGAAGTCAAAGTAAGAAGAACGATGTATTATGAAAAGTTGAGTAGTCCTCAGGGATTTTATGACCTTACAAAGATTTTTTTCCAGAAAACAAGGTTTGGAAGATTACATTTTTTTTCTAATGTGAACTGAAGTTTACCCTCTGCAAAAGTGATCTGCTTGCATATCTTGACCCCAATAAATTAGTAGATTTAGAATCACTTTTTTATTCTAGTTGTAATTTTAGATCTTAGTTTAACTAACATAAAAAATGGCAGGAGTGCACAGAACAAGCATTATTTCCATTGCTGTGATTTAACATTGAAGTCTGGTTTGCTACATGTGGAAATTTGAGGATATCACTATTTTCCAAATATTCTTTCCTTGCTGCTTTGGAAGTATTTTCCTTTCTGTCTATTTATCATTGAGAAATACATGCACAAAATTCAAAATCTACATCTTACAAAAGATGTATGAGTTAATTTATGTCTTTCTACTGTCATCGTGACAAT